CATACTTATAAGGGCATGGAGGGAGAAGGTGGCAAGAGACACTGATCGTGCTGCCACCCTTCATGTCAATGCCACTTAGTGACAGCAGAGGGCATTTAGACACAGCGACCATTATGAAATTATGAACAACGTAATTATAAAGAATTGTGGAATTGCAAATACAATATAAACAAACTATTCTCAAGAATTAATATGAACTCAATCACTGCTTTAGCCTAGCTTGAACTCAAGCCTCCCTCCTGGTCTGCGTGTGTCTGAACTGGGTGCTTGCTAGCTTGAATATAATCAGACGCATCAAGGGAGATTCCTGCAGAGGTGATTCTCATTAAGTGTTAGTTCTTTTCCTTGGGGAATATTTTCACTCAGGGAAGTGATCAGAAGTCGCAGGATTTGTGGGATTTCTCGACACTGCATGCATCCATCCCACCAGGAGGAACTCTTTGCAGCATGTGGTCCTTCTGTACCAGAGGTGCAGCTGGGACTTGTACTAGTAACAGACATGATTGGTGGTCTGCATGTGTTACAAAAATGTAAAAATGGAATTATTCACAATAGTTCTTCTCGAAACACCAGACACTACAAACAGAGTCGTGAAATGCACTTAATCAATTTGTTTCTATAGCTCGCCACTTTATTAGCATTTTATCTTAGTACCTGTAATTGATTTGTTTAAAAATATTTGCCATATTTTTTTATTGTCTTGGACATTTTCAGACATTTGTTGCAGTTGTGACAACATCAGCATTGTGGCTTATTTATATGATAATGTCACTGCATCTCTGCTGCAGTCATGTAAATCCTATGCTATAGTAGATCCACGCAGAAAGGGTCTCCTTTCACTTCAAGTTTCTTTGTGAGAAAGTTGAAAAGGCCCTAATATAGGTCATGCACTGTGGTCCATCTTAATGCCGAGAGTTATTTGAATGTCATATTTACTACAAGGGGCTTCTCCAAGTCAACCTGATCAATTCAGTTGGACATTTAGTCCGCTCTAATTTGACTGATTCACTGTGTCCGCTCAGCTGTTAAAAACCAGTATGTACAGCACAGCCTTCCCTACCATACATGTATACTGCAGAGGTCATACATGTATGCATAGACGAGTGTTTGCTGTTGCCATTACCATCCGTGACCATTGGTATGTATGTATGTGTGTGTGTGCATGTGTGGTCTTGAGGCTATAGTGAGCATGGAGTTGACAGGGGGCCGTAGAGATTTAGGGCGAGGTGCCAAGGAAGCCAAGGAAACGTGTGTGTGTGTGTGTGTGTGCATGCGTGTCTGCAAGCACACCTCGTCCTCTGATCTCGGGGGACATCTGCTCTGGTCCGGGTCACTGGCAGCGAGCGCTCAGTCGGGCTCAAAAGTATCACCACGGCAACTGCATCACATAATCCCATTCCATCTCATCCCATCCAGGAACTGTGTGCGACGTGATTGGCCTGTTCCCCCCTGGGGCGCTGAGGCGACGGATCAGGCAGCGTCTGCTTACTCGCTGTGTCAGCTATGGCTCTGGGTGTGTGGGCGGGGAGCAAGTAGCGCATTAAAGGAACGTTTGGTGCATTTTGGCAGGAGACGGTGTGAATTATGCAGACGCACCCCTACTGTGTGTGTGTGTCTGTGTGCGCAGTGATGCCAGTGTGGGTCCCTCATGAGGAACAGTTTGGGGGGAACAAGTTACTCTAAGCAGATAAATCCCTTTTTTGGCTTCATCCGTCTCACTTCAACCAGTCTTGAAAGTTTACATCATTCCCCCTTTAAGTATTTACCAGCATCACAATTCTGCTGCTGTACAGTGCTCCCTGTCTGTTTCCTGCTTCTTTTTACACCAGAACAGAGTCGAAGTAGCTGGATATTATTATATTATCACTTGTTTTCTATCATAAAGGTCAAAGGGCTGTTGATAAAGCTATAAACATGCATGCACAATAATAACATGCATTTCTGAGGATTAATGGAAGTACAGTTTCTCTGAATGTGCTGTTAAAACACTTTATTCTGTGCTGAGGCATCACATCCAGCAGACTTTCTTCTTTCTCCGTGTTTCATCTTTTTTGGCATCTTAAGTGATTTGTTGGTACCTGCTCAACCCTTCTGTGTCGATAAGGAATTAGATGAAGAAATACAATTGAGGAGACTAAAATAAACCTGAATAATACAAACAGCTCAGAATAATAATCAAAATAATCACAAAAAAAGTCTCTATCTGCCTTCATCTCTCTTCCCTTCATCTCCCCACTCATCTCTCACCAACTGTAGCTTTCATCTATCCCTCCATTCCTCGCTTTGTTTGTCTGCCTTCACCTCTCTCTCCCTGCTCGCTCTGCTCTCTCGCTCACCCCCTCCACCTCCATCACTCTCCCTGTCTTTGCTTTGCCGAAGAATACAAACACATTCTGAATTAAAACACAACTGACAGTTTGCATCCAGCTTCTTTGCTCCTCCCATGATTCCTTCCTCACTTACATACCTCCCCACTTTCATCCCTCTCTCTCTCTCTCTCTCTCTCTCTCTCACTCTCTCACTCTCTTACTCCAACTGTCAGGAGGCTTCATTATTAAAGATTCATGGCGGAGTCTGGGCAGCTCTTCCAAAAGCTTTTGTCAGACAGACCGAGTGTCTCAAATCACACTGCCACTAACTGGAGGTGACATACAGACACACACATACACTCACTCTTGTTGTGGTTTGCTACAGTATTTACTGTCGGCCAGGCCTTTTAAATTCAAATCTTGATAAAAAAAAGATTCTTAGTGCTTGTTTCTATTAAAAAAAAATTGTAAATAATTATGTTTTACATCACATTGTGTTATATAATATACAACATCTTATATCCCTGGCCAGTATCATGAAAATGTTACGTTATTAAAAAGCCTGTCAATTCAATGCAGTTTATTTGGTTTTGGCCAAAACTCAAGAAGATTTCGTCATAAATCTATAATAAAGGTTCATATTTATGAAACAATTGCAACAAAAGTCAGTACACTCTTTAATATTTATACTCCATCCTTTACACTTAATTGTTGATGACAGATTTGATCCTCTTTGTCATGGATGAAACTAGTCGTAAACAAATCTGTGGCAAGATTTTCTACCATTATTCGCAGCTGTGGTTTGTTAAAGCAGTTTTTTTTCTTCTGTTTTAAAATACTGACTCCAAAGGCATTCTAGTGGATTAAAGTCAGGGAACATACTTGGTCAGATCATAGTTTTCTCTGTCTCTGCTTTAAAGACTCTTGTGTGAACTTTGCAGTGTGTTTGAAATAATGTCCTGTCAAGGTTGCTGCTGTCATTTCATTCTGTTGTTTGGTATATGAATTACATTCCCAGTGCAACCTTAAAATTTGTTCTTCCTTGAGCCTTTTGCACCCTATTAGGTTGCATTGGAACAAATTTATTTTATTTTAATCCGACCAAAGAATAGCCAAGGCTTCTTTTCATGTTCTTTGGCAAGGTCTTTTTGGAGGCCATCTTTAGAGTTTGACTTCTTGCAATGTCCTCTCAACTTTCTGCTCAGTCACTGAGACACCAATTTCCTCAGATAATCCTTCCAGATAATCCTGTTATTGGCAGTATGTCTCTTCCTCTACTGCCGAACCACTACAAATGTGTTTCGGCTTATGTTCAGTAGCCTACAGATACTTGTGTACCCTCTCCAATTTTTATGAAGTCTCACAATCTGGTTTTGTACATGTTCAGACAGTTTCAGACCATGTTACATTAGACCAAATCACAACAGAGAAACTGTGGGGTTATTTTATAACCTGGCTCATTAAATTAGCCTTAACTGATGTGCTAACTTAGGTTAAACTGAAGTTGAACTTTGTGGCCTGTATTTGTTATGCAGTCTACTTAACCTTAATTAAACATCAAATCAAATACCCCACATTTTAAATAAACGGTCTTGTTGTGGCTAAAAGCAGTGATTTCACCCTTTGCCTACTGAATTTGAATCAGATCATCTTGGAGTCACACTGGATGTTTTTAGCTTGACGAAATGAAATTAGCTCTAGGCATTCTTATTGCATCAACATGAATAAGAATAGAGATGGGCGGCTGATGTCCATACAGACGGGCAACCCAAAAACAGGGTGCCTCTGGCCATGGCTGTTGCTGGCACAGAAGCATAAAAAAATCAGTTGTACCTCTGGTAATCAGACATAACAAACAAACCAATTATCATAGTTACACAGTGGGATTTACCTTGAGCAAATTCTTTTTCTCAAGGGCATTTCATGAGGGAATAGCTCACATGCCACTGGGGAAAACAAGCAATATTCACCTTGTAGCAAGAAACTTTCACATTGACCAGAAATGACATAGAAGTAACTGCTACTTGTTTGACAACCACCTCACTGTTGTTTTCAAGCTCTTTTATTTTTAATTTAGAAACCTGAAACCTTCTGATCGACTTGGCTTCTAAAGTATATTTAAAAGTTTTAGTTCAACCCATTTTGACCTAAGGTGGCAAATTGAGGTGCACTCTAAAATCTAAGCATTGTTTGAAAATAACCACCTAAAACCTGCAGGTTTTCTGAAAAGCTGACAGAATTGCCAACATTAACAAAAGCTCCCTTTCATCATTGTTTTCCTCAAGGAAACTCTGCAGCAATCTGCTTCAGTATCCCTTCCCTCCCTTAAATCGTCAGCCATTGTCTGAAATGCAACTTTAAAAACTTTTTTTGTTGGCTAAGAGAGCTGAAAAACCAACTATCATTACCCATAATTGTTTCGCCTTTCTCCCAAGTCGCAATGTATTTCATCAGTCACTTGTCTTAAAAACGATGACATTGTATTAAAATGCGCACGTGTCTCATCCTGCTCCAAAGGGAAAAGCAAAGAAACCTCACATGTGGTCTTAAAGGTATATAAAACCATATGTTGCATCTAAATGGGTCAAAGAAGACTTAGTTGGAATTGTGCACAATGTTGGTACAAAAATGCCCTTTATTTACCAATTTTAATCTTTTCATCTGTCATTTTCTTTGTATTTGTTTTTACAGAAAAGCTCAAGAACAAGAGAAAAAGGTGGTGTTAGCAGGATGCGTTCCCCAGGCCCAGCCACGGATGGACTACCTCAAAGGACTCAGCATTATTGGGGTATGTATGTATTTATGTATGTATATATATTCATGTGTGTGCATTTGAACTTACTTATCTGACAGTGATGACCTGAATATTGTAGGGATATGCTCATACAACAATATATTTTCTGCCTGGGTCCCTTGTTGGCCTTCATTTGTGTCTAATGGGTTCACTTTGAGGATTTCGTACAGACACACACACACACAACACTGAGACTAAGATGGATTGACCTGTCATTCACCTTGCTGCCAACCTGCTGTGTCTGTTCTATTCTGGCCTCCCTGCCGCTTGGTGGATCAATAGACATCCCTGGGAGACAAAACTCCAGACTGCTAAGATGAACAGTGTGGGGAATAGAAAAGCAGGAAGAGTATATGATGGAAGGAGGGAAAAAAGTACAAGACAAAGGAAATGGGCAGAGGTGGAAAAGAGCCTGAGGTCGCTGGAAAGAAAGAAAGGAAGCATGGAGTATTTGAAAAATAAGGCCAATGGAAAGAGGAAATGACATTGGACACCTGTTTAACAAGTCTGCGCCTGCATATACGACATAGACACCGAAATGAGCCGTGTCTAGAGCAGGTCGTCAACCGCAGTGCTTCAAGTGAACAATGTTTAGAAGACAGCTGAGAGCACTGGAATTAATTAACTGGAATGTTTCTGAGCGTTACAGGTTTTTATTTTACAATATGCTGCCCCAGTTCATTTTTGATAAATGCAACCAACCCGTGTTTCCTACATAAAACTGTCAGCCTGAACTTCTCAGTCGGCTTTAATGTGATTAAACAGTAAGTTCCCACTTTGAGATGCAAACCCCCTTGACACCATCCCATACATAATGCATGGGTTAGTTTCCAGGTTCTACACCAAACAGCTAAAATGATGCTAAACGCTGTGTAGTGCTTTATTTCCTTTTTTGCATAAATCTAACAGTCCAATTTTTATGTGTTTTTCTTGGCTGTCTTGTTTTCACCATATAGAACATTTACAAACAGGGTAGAAAAATCAGGTATATTGACCCCTAAGCTATCTGATGTATGGAAAAAGACAGGGCCAGTGACTGATGTGAAGACCTCATGGCTTAAAGCCCTGAGCAAGAGTCTTTCCCCCTTTCTGTAAAGGTACCAATGGAAACTGCACCTCTAAATGTTTGATAGTGTTCTGACAGCGAGGTGAGTGAGGTGGCCAACGAATAACACAAAAGATGTTGTGGCTAAAGGGAAAAACTCACTTCACATCAGTGGAGTGACAGAAATATGCAGATATAACAACATCTTTTGAATTACATATCTAGAGCCCTCTTCTCTTCAGTTTACTGTGACACAAAAAGCGTGTTTTCACACAAATCCCTCTAGTGTATGATAAACCATGAGATGGACTTTTTAAATTCTTTCTTTTAATGTATGTTTCACCTGAGTAATGACGAGAGGGAAGTATTTAAAGAATTGATTATGGTTTTTTATGTTTAAAGTGCGGCCACTTTCCACAAAGTCCTTGAGACTATTTTATTTAAAGTGAAGGGCCTTGGTGAAGCATGAATGAGGTTATTTTCTGTCTGTTCAGTTCTGCATTCAAACAAAATCACATCAGCCATTCTAACATTAATAAACAATGAGAGGTTTTCCAAATAGTCCTTGTAGTTGAGCACTGTGTATTTAGACATTTAATCCATGTTTAGCGAAGCAAAATAATTCCTACATTTCTAAGAACGCTTCTGTTGTTCAAATTAGATTACATAATTTCAATCGCCACAGAAAACCTTGATCTTGATTTGAAATAATGCTTGAGTTTATTTGCTTGCATTAATAAAACAAACTGTCCCTTTGAAAACAGGGATAAATTAAACTGTCCAATGTTTATTACTACCTCCTGCTTAAAAAATAATGGGGTTGAGGGGTGGGGAGGTGTCTTGATTGTTAAGTTAAATATCCTTTGCCATAAATAATGTAATTCAATTTCAGTAAACATGCCACTGTGTGACACAATTACATTTAAGTCAAGTGGCATGTATGTGTAATATAATTACATTCAGATAAACTGGGTTGTATATGTAATAGCCTTCAGGGCGAGGCAGAAACAGCTGGGAAGTTTACCACTGCTGGTCCTTTCATTGTTATGAGTAGATTGGATTACGCGGTGATACAGACAAACACACATTTGTCTGGCTGTAGTTGTGAGCACACATTGACATTATATATTCTCTTGCCCCCAACCTGAACCATCACATATAAATGCCTAACCCTATAACCAGGTCTCACCCCTTAAACAGGCCTATGGAATTTTGAGAACAGAATACATCCTTATAACAATGGCTTCGACTAAAAATGTCCTCACAGCCATAGAAAGACAAGTGCACACTGACAGATGCATGCATGAACAGGCACACATGGTTCACACAGCCTGACAGAGGTGTATGTGTGCACACGCCCCCCTTGTGTATCCCTGGTAGTTACAATCAGCCTCACAATGGCAGTGACAGTTGGTGGGTTATGCAAATTACATGCAAATAAGCAGTTGTGAATTTGTATATAGTGATTGCACTAACGGCTAGATAAAGGGAGTAGTTAAAAAAAAAAGTGCTTCCTGTTGAATTCATTCGTTTTAATCGAGCTGTGTGTCAGCTTTTGTGTGGCTTTCTGTTGTGTTCTGTTTTGCTGTGAAATGAATGACAGTGTATTGTGCGTACTATACACAGACAAGTCACACAAATCCACAGTGTTTTGCATGTCTGAACCAAACATTGACATAGACTAGCCCCTACCTATATCAGAGATGCATTACACACATGCACAGAGCTGGCATGGTGATCTGAGAATTACAGTCGGTCAGCAACACATTGTCTTTTCAGTATACAAGGCAATTCATTTGTAAGTATTCAGACTCTTTAAAAATGTTTTATTTTGCAGCTCTATGCTAAGAAAAACAAATTATTTCCCCTCATTAGAGTGTAAAAACAAAGATCTCTTTGTGCAGCAGCAGTGGTGCAGCTTCAGGGTCCAGCAGCCGGTCTTAACTTTCTGTAGCTCAATCACTGCAGGTAACTTTTTACAGTTTCAGAAAGAAAGCTGAAACCAGCATCACCACAGGTCAATCAAACAGACCTTTCCAAACAGGCAGGTTTGGAACAGGCACTGTACTACTTCATTAAAAAGGCAAGACTGAAAACAATCACCTTGACATAATTATTGTACGCATTGCTGTGACACTTACAATGACACTTGTAATCACTGGAGCTCATCAAGAGTGACCATCAGATTCTCTGTCACGTCTCTTACCAAGGCTCTTCTCCTGATTACTCACTTAACAACTCACTTCATTCACTTTAGTCAGGCTCGAGAGAGAGTCCTGCTTGTTGAAATGTGTCAAACCTGATGGTTTCTTCTACTGTTGATGCTCATCCACCTCAAGATTCACCGTTTAGTGCATTTAGTGCTGTTATCGCAGTTTTGATGAGAGGTTACCTGAGTTACCATAGCATTTGAGTCCGTCTGAACCAGTATGGCCTCTTTGACCTCAAAAGTGCTGCTCACTGGACGATTTGCTTTTTCATCCCATCCCGACTCAAGTCTAGCTTCTGTTTCGTAACAATCTCAGACCAGCCCATCGAGCAGCGACATTCAGGCAATGGTCTAAGTCACACTTTACCTCCATTCTGAGGTTTGTGAATATTACCTGACCTGTAGCTGCTGGATGGATTTATGCATCACACTGCTTCCACATGATTGACTGATTAGATTACTGCAAGAATAAGCTGTTCATGGAAAAGTGCTTGGTGATTCTCTATATATTCCTTATTTAAACAAAACTCAATGAGCACATAAAGTAGGATTTGAGTGATTAGAGTTGACTAGTGAGATCTGAATTAATGGTTCAATTATAAATAATACCTCAACCTACTGAGGGCATAGGGACACCTGCTGCTCTTCTGAATGGAGCCAGATTGCCTGGCTAGAGGAAAATAGTTCACTTCAGTGTGTAACATGCTTATAACTGCTGCCTGCAAAGCACAGCGTGCATCTGTGTGAGTGTGTTTGAAAGAAGGGTTACACTGGGTAATAGGCCTGGAGGCATTGAGAGCTGGCACTAAGGGCTTGAGCATAGACCTCTAAGAATAGCGAAAGTGAGAGAATTAGATGTAGAGGGGATGCTGGGAGGAATAAAAGGGAAAATTGTGGCATTGAATTATAATTTTTTTTTCTTCCCCCACTTCTTTTTCCCTCTGTACATCCCTATATGTCGCTTCCACTTATTGTCAATCCTACTTTCCTTCTCCAGGTTATTTTGTGTAAGATTGTAGATTAGTGCTGTTCTCAATATTCTGGCTCTTTTAATATCCGGTTAAACCTTCTATTCTGGCTGCTATCTGTAGCCAACATGTTAGCCACATCTTGCTTGTTTTTACCTCCACCAAGGAGGTTACGTTTTCATTGCAGTTTATTCTTTAGTAACTCAAAAAACAACGGATTTCGATGACATTTTGTGTAGGTGTGAAGCACGGCACAAGTAAGAACCTCAAATTTCGAGGGGATTCAGATAAATGAGCAGATCGGATAGGGCATTAGCCTTGGTGGAGGTATGTACTCTCTTAGTCTTCTTCTAGTCTCTCCATGAATTCGTGGTGGTTTCAGAGTTACGTATAGAGCTGCAGGATTTTCATCATGGGACGAAATGAGAAGTATATTTTGATTGGTCATAACAAGATTCTGTTTTATTCTCTCATATTCTAACGATGTGTTAGTGATGAATTGTTACCTCTACAATCATATGTCTGCCATTCTCTCTACCTCTTTCTTTTCCTCCCTCTGCTCTCATCCATGAATGCTCACCCCCGGACCGTGCCTCTGTCGATACGTAATATACGTGGCTTTACAGCTACATAGACACGCAGTGGCATTTAAGAAATCTATACCACTTCATCCTGGCTGGGAAAACCGCTGCATCTTCTTTTGCACTTGTTTGTCCATGTGCTTATACCCCATATCGTCTTTGTGTATATTTACATGCCCACCTTGTTTAAATGTGGATCAGTTTATGTGTGTTTGTGGGTAGTCAATATCAGGCTTTTGTTTGACCTTGTGGACTTGGCTCGTCAGCATCAATAAACTTCTCCCATGTGTGTCTGTATTTCAGGTCCAGCAGATTGATCGAGTAGTAGAAGTCGTGGATGAGGCAGTTAAAGGTATTTTGACACACAAACACACACACACACCCAGGAGCAGTAATTGTATGAGTGAGCGAGCGAGCGAGCAGCAACGCATTGATCAGCTAATGAATGAATGAGAATCCTTTTATTATTGGAATGGGAAATGAAGTTCTTGAGTCAGCTCCACATATGAATGATTTTCAGTAAAGCCGTCTGGCTACTTATTGACAGAAGAGCAGGACTGAGAATGGCTGGACTGTCAAAAGTAGGAATATATCACTGTCCTGTAGAAAGGTACAAAAATGTGAATTATTACACGATTTTAACAACACTTGATTGTGTCATTATTGATGTTGATTGTTTAAAGTGCAAACAGATCGGTCCTAAATTAACACTCATGAAATATTGGACGAGTAAATCTCAGAGGACTTTCACAACACTGCAGGTAAATGTTTGTATCAACATAGTTATGTTATGAAACACCATAGTCTGTAAATAAAGATGGACGACATGACAGCTCCCCAAATGTGAGACAGAGTGCCCAGATTGCCCCCTGTTGGCTTGCTGCAGTATAGATCTTAAACCTCCATGTTAGTGGATGGGACATTGCAAAAAAGTCAAAGTACATGTTAATCCATTTTTTCCCAAAGATGGTTTCTGTAATTTTTGGTAGTCTATCACTGATGCGTGGCATATTGTTCATTTTTCCATTTTTTTGTCAATCAGTTATATGATGCTATAAAAACTGACTTACGATTGGTCAATTGCATGTACCTGCTGGACCTTGATAATGTTGCTTCACTGTAGAACGCTACTGAGAAGACTCAAAAAAAAGTGCAAGATGTCAGAGTTCATATCACAGATATTTTGGCTTCTTTCCTGGAACTGTATTTAAAGAGTATGCTGTAACCAAACCAACAAACAATCACCAATTAGCTCACGGCATTGATTGCACTTCTGTCTGTCCTGGGTGAGGGGCCCCTCACATGTGGCTCTCTCTTTGAGGTTTCTGTTAGTAGGGTTTTTCTCCCATAGTTTTTCCCTTACTGTTGCTGAAGATTAAGGGCAGAGGATATCACACCTTGTGAAGCCCTTTGAGACAAACTGTGATTTGTGGATATGGGCTGTACAAATAAAATTTGAATGATTGATTCTAGGTCTGCTTGGAATGCAGGTCTATCATTTGTTTGGTTTCAGGCAAAGAAAAAAAAAAAAAAGGATGAAACACCTTGAAAAAAGCAAGTTGAGAAATAGAGTCTTGAAGTTCTACAAGGCTGGCTACAGTACAATCGAGAGGCTACAGTGAAGAGTTGTTTTGTGTGTCTCCAGTATGCCAAAGACAAAAAAAACACATTTGTCATTTTAAGTAAAACAATGAATCTGGAGGGCGTTCATGACTGAACAAAGCGTGTGCCACACTGCCTGTGCGTCTTCATCCCTGAATCAATCAAAGTCTCTATTCTCGTCCCTGAAGTTCATTTCATAGCTGACTTTTAAGATCAAGACTTCTTGAGGTGTATTTTCATCTTTA